GAACAAATGGGGCCTTAACATCTTCAATGTGGCTGGATATTCACACAATAGGCCCCTAACATGCATCATGTACGCTATATTCCAGGTAAGTAAAGAGGAGCAAATGTTGGTTATCCAATGGGATGGCTCCTTATGAATTTTTTTTTTCATCTCAGTTTACTTTTCTCATTTAACCTTCCTCCACTTTTGGACACCCACATGTTGATGTTCTGATCCATTTTACTACATAGGAAAGAGACCTCCTAAAGACCTTCAAAATCTCATCTGACACATTTGTAACCTACATGATGACTTTAGAAGACCATTACCACTCGGACGTGGCCTATCATAACAGCCTGCATGCTGCTGACGTAGCCCAGTCAACCCATGTTCTTCTCTCGACGCCAGCACTAGATGTGAGTAGATATGATGTTTTGCATACCTTCCCATCCTCTTTTAAAATTACCATTCATTTTGTGGTATATTTACCAAAATAATGTAATTGGATGACCCCGCATATTTGAACTGATTTTTTATTATGTATAGTATCCATCAATTGGATTGTTTATAAAAATGTATGACATTTCTACTTTTGCTTTCTAATATCAGAGTAACCTTTCTTTTACATCTCTCACAGTTGAAAACTATTTAATTATCAAACAATTAACAGGCTCTTCAGGGCAGGGACCATGACTTATTCTTCATTGTATTCCTAGTAAGGGATACAATATATATCAAAATGTCTTATTCAGTGTCTGGTATATAGTATATCTTCAATATGCATGTTCTGATCTGAACTGACCAACATCATCTCAGGTACTGTGCGGGATATCACAGAAATATAAAGTAAAATGTTCTATATAGTTCCTATCAGGAATAATCATATATAGGCTTATTCTTCTAAGAATTTATGAAACTCATTCTATGGGTTGAAGAAAAAGTAACTGAAAATCTGGAACAGAGAAATTAATAATGCTGAAGCAAGGAGGAACGGTGTTCCATCTTGCCAGACAAGACCTGAGGAGGTATCTGTGCCTCCTTTCCTCATAGATGCATTTGTATATACCAGTGTAATCAGCAATGGGCCCAGCAGGCCATGCTCTAACTTGACAGATGCAAATGGTAGTCAGGTCCTTCCAAAATGTGCTGGTCCACTACAGAAAGGGACTGACCAAGCCCTATCCAGCTCCACCTTTGCAGACTCAATTTGGGAAGTGAAGAAAGATTAAACTGACCACAGCTCTATTGCTTGGGTTTCATTCTCATATATTCTATGAAAAGAAATACAGGAAGACCTGGGAAAGTGAGATGGAGCTAAGGGTGTTTGATCTCCGTGATGGAAAGAAACAGTATTATTTTTATACTCTGTATAAGTATCATAGAGTGAGTCAACACTATTTATCAACTATACACTGTTATTGATAGGATACCTATTGTGTAGACAGAAATTGGCCATGAGTGCCACAAACTTTTAGGGAAGGGAGAGTTCTGCGTGTCCTTGAGTAAAGGAATTTGTCTTTATGGGAGAGCAAGAAACTGAGCTGGCATTTGAAGGACCAGATGATTTAAGTAATCACAAAAGATGAGGAAAGACATTTTGGCTCTAGAATCAGCAGCAGTTTATATCAAAATTAATTTATAATAAAAGTATATTTTAAATCATAGTAGACTTGAAGCATTGTGCATGGGTGGAGGCAGAGAAGCCTTCATGACATGGCATGAAGGAGTTGAGCAGCGGGGTGTTAGGTTTCACTTCTTAGGAATATACTCAAAGCTTGCCCATAGTAAACATTTAGTGGACATGTACTGAATAAATTAATTAATGAATATATGTGACTACACTATAAATTTAGCTTTGGGAAATAATTTATTGCTTATCTTACGAATCTGGAATTTGGTCATTTTCCCCCAAGTTACTTATCCTGAAGGCATATGAAGGTCATTACGAGGGGTCTTCAAAAAGTTCATGGAAAGATTGGCATTATCCTTTAATTCTATTTTTCCACAAGATTTTTTTTTTTTTCCTTTTTTGTCTTTTTTCGTGACCAGCAACGGATCACAACCCTCAGTGTCACGCCCGTACCGGACCGGCAATGGGATCGCAACCCTTGGTGTTGCGCCCGCACCTCACTCAGTCAGTGAGCGGCCGGTCTGTATGTGGGATCCGAACCCTCGATGGGAGCGCCGCTGCACTCCCAAGCAGCGCACTGTAGCAGTGCGCCACCGGGCCGGCCCAGTTTCCACAAGGTTTTTAAAGTATCCTTGCATATCTCAGAGCAGAGCCAGTCTGACTTGCTTCTTTGACTTGTGTGTGCTTGTGTTGCTTAAGCACCATGCTGCTGTCCCACTGATCCAAGGAACAAACATCAGGTGTTTACACACCCCATGAGCACTGTGTTAGAGCCTTCCAAACCTCAGCCTGCAGGCTTGGTGTGGGAATCAGCTCTGGCCATCATTCCTTTCACATCAGAGACCTTATGATAATGAGTAGAATCTATATTTATTTATTTATTTTTTTTATTTTTTATTTTTTGTTCTTTTTGTGACCGGTAAGGGGATCGCAACCCTTGGCTTGGTGTTGTCTGCACCGCGCTCAGCCAGTGAGCACACCGGCCATCCCTATATAGGATCCAAACCCGCGGCAGGAGCGCCACTGTGCTCCCAGCGCTGCACTCTCCTGAGTGCTCCACAGGGTTGGCCCAGAATCTATATTTAATTAAATTAGCGAATTGAGATATTG